TGCATTTATGTCCAGGGCTATAATTCAACTACATAATTTAAACCCGAAATAAGCTTCAGACCATGCGTGCATTGGATTCGATATAATTGCATTGGTCTGCTCTGCGCAAATCAGTGCACAGTGAACAATATGACCGACTGCTTCAAAATTAGCAAAAAACGATACACACGTTGCATTGTATTGGTTGAACACAACGGCACATGCTTTTGCTTTTGTATCAATATTTGATAATGACGATGGAAACGGAAAATATAATCAAACTACTTTAAGTGGTGACCTGAGACTACTGCCAGCACTTGCGCAGGCGGTCAGTGGAGCTAATTTGGGGTGCCATACGTAATTCCCTCAATGTTTGGTGTATGTGCGCATATAATGGCATGGACACTGCCAAAGGTGAAGTGAGAGGGTGTTTGCTGACCTCCCCTCCTTTACCAACATTTTCCATTGTTTTACCATATATTTGCGATGACGGAGAGCCCAAACCCAGCGTGATTCTTTCTCACTGAGCTCCACCCTCCCACCCTGCTCCCCCTAAAAAATCTGGCTGCGCCCCTGTGTAGCGAAGTCACGGCTCTTGGCAAAAGACTGATCGGGATCACTAAGTTTCTCTTCCGTTCACCCGGGTAACCGAAGGGCGTTTGCAAGATTTCGCAATGGGTGTGGAAGCAGCCCAAAAGTTCCGATGAACATCCTATTTTAGCGCACTGCATGCGCGTGGCACGTGCACTCGTCCCCTTCCCCCTGCCCCCCCCCCCCCATCTGAATACGCCCCTGAGTGATAACACGGTCCATCTGCCGTAGGTCATGTCGTGGCTCAAACGGCTCGCAATGGTGCGCTGAGCCGGAGTCTGCCATTGTTTAACCAAGGCTCGATTACTTCTTCAACTATGCACGAATAAGATCGGCATTTCATCTTCTATATGAAAGCGCGTTGCATGCCGATGACAGAGCTGATCTGGGCAACCCTTCAGACTCTTCTGTTTTTTGGGGGCATGTGCACACTGAGCAAGAGTTAGGCCTCCTAATAAAGGATAAGCCGGGAGCAGTTTTTTCCAATGCCAAATGAGACCATCTGGCATCTCAAACGACTGGCAGTGAAGCTCTAAGCTTGAATGCTGTTCGAGCGGTTTGACGCTTGAGATCATTAGTTTTTCACCAAGCCATCATTAGGCCGGGGTCGCTGTCGAACAGGTCAGGTCGAACAAGTCGTGCGCTCTCAGGGCACGACTTTAGTCAATCTCGTGGAAAGTCAGTTGGCTGTCGTGAGCGAACGTCGGAAACACATATCATTCGGAATTCGCTCTCTGACATATGAGGATGGATGAAGATGTAGCTGCTAACGAGGCATCCACGGCAGTCATTTTGAAGGGCTGCAGTTTCAAAAGGTTTATTTTTACACGGACTAACGATGGCGCCTTGATGCATCTGGATCCTAAAAAACATGCAATGTTAACTTTTGACCCTAAAACGCGGAGACGTACGTCCTGTTTTAGAAACACCAGTAATCAAAACGCACTCACAATTTTATCGTGAAGAGTACGTCGCTCACTATCTATCATCATCCGAAATCAACATTTTTGCAAACGGGGCGCAAACAACCCAGCAGAGGTTGTGCATACAAAAGCGCTCAGTTACAAAGCATTCAAAAATGCTCAACACGAGTAAGACTTTTCCCAAACTTCTGTGACGCCCAACGCTTCGCGGAGTTCTGGTATCGGCGTCATGTCACAGACCGAGCCAGACGCCTCTCAGCCCGCAGGTCGCCGCAGCCCCTCTGCAGCGCACGTGGTCACAGCCACACCAAAAATAGCCGCCAGATTTCAATAAACGCGACGCACTGAAACAGCCATAACAGAGCATCATGGGAATAAATCGCAGGCCATACGTCCAAGAAAAACACGATTACTTCGTATTTGTTATGGCATTGGGCTTTTGTTATCTATGAGCAATGTTATTTCACGTTGCCTATGAGCAGGGAAAAGATGGAAAGTTCTCGCTGCCAGGGAGCCAGGTAGTTATCTGCTGGCAAGTTTCGAGCATAAAGGCTAGGCAGGTCATTAAATCGTAATAAAAACGCCCTGGCAGAGTAAGTTGACGTTTAAAATCGGGAAACGGGAGCTTCAGCGTGCGGACCACCGAGCACGTCATCCTCAGCCGTGGCGGCCGCCTCCAGCAAAGCGGCACTGCCGCCACCCAGATGGCGAAAACGGTGACAAACATTAACAGGGCATGCGGGCTGGGCTTCACCTCAGAGCTCTTGCAGCTTGCATGCGGCGATAGAGTGAATGGAGGCCTGCTGGGGAATAGGCATTAGCACACCGTTGGAGACAGATGAATAGCTCGCTCCGCTCAAAACCCCAAACCGAAAACACATGACCTCCACTGGCGCCCCACTCCGGGTGGAAAACTGGCACGGATATAGTAACGACAGCGCGGTGTCGTTAAAGAAGCTGGTGTAGGAATGCTGGCTCGGACCGCTCAGATAATACGGTCCCAAATTAGTGTAACAGCAGGTGGTGCTGCAAGGCTTCCCAAAAAAGCGGAGGCGTGAGCCGACAGCGAAGCGTCGAAAGCGTTTTTCATGCATGCGTTTTTCGGGCGACCAAAAGCCTGCATATCCCATACATAATCGTACGTTTCATACATAGCACGCCCTTCGCACCAAACAGCGGCCAAGGCAGGTCATGGTAACTCATGCTTGCGCGACGCAAGTAGTCACACATGCGCAGCAGCGGACCAACGAACTGCATGAGCGCAGTAGCCTTGCCGCCTGCGAACACGAAGCGCGCGATACCAATGATTGTTTTCAGACCGCACCGGGCTTGCGCAAAACGCCATAGAAGGTGCCTGACACAAATAGGAAAACGAGCTTTCGCTGAGCTCGGCACTCCCTCCCCTCACGAGAATCCTGGCTGTGCCCCGGCTGCAGCCCGTCGCCAGATCATCTCTGCCATGGCACGCATGTGGTCAGACCGTCATGGCGCAGACCTCTCAATGGTGGACACACAAACGTGCCGACGGCTGATTGGCGGGATTTTGGTGAGATTCACCGAACACTGCCTTCATGGAGACGATCCGGCTCGTGACGAAGGTCGCTAGTGGGGGCTCGGCCAGCGGTGGCTAGGTGGCCGCGGCCACCACGATGCAAACACGAAACACTGCGATTTATTTTATCTCCATCATTTGTACCCAAACAAAGTCACCAACACACACAATCATTCTGAACATGAAATCCCTTCCACCGCAAGCAAAATTAAGCCCTCTTCTATTCGGCACAAGCTTGACCCATGGCAATAGAATGCAAACTGCTCAATATTTTGCATCATTCGTCTCCGTTTCCCGTCACTTCATCCACGCCCATAATTACTTAACATAAATCACTCGGCGGCGGTTCGGCGGCGACGCTGGGCGGCTGGCCCAGGGCGGCCGGGCGCCCGCTCAGCAGGCCGCCGACCGGGTCAGCGTATCCTGGCCTCCCCGACGACAGCCGGCAGTTTTGATTGCACCGTTCCAGTTGCTCCTGAAAAGAGCTATGATGTAGGTCTCTACTCTTGCGCCGGCCCGCTACGTACTGTCCAAATTGTGTTCCAGAATGCGATGGAATACTTGATTTGAATCTAATCAAATAGTGGGCTGAGCGTGGGCTAGGTGCGCCAAACTTCACATTGCTATCTCTCACTGAAGAAGTCAGAATGAAGCGTATTATTTAACATATTGAGCTCATCGCGTTAACATGACTCCTGGCAATACATAGGACACGTGTCACCTGATGCTTATTTTCGGTTTTCATGTTGATAGCTGGAAAGTATCCTTTGAAACCAAAGTACTGCATGCGTCAAGTATCTGAGCATGCGTTTGTGCAACGGTGCACGGCGTCGACCGGCACCTGTGGGTTTTGAGCCCATTTCCGATAAGCTTAAGGGTTCATGATATTTTACGGAACAGCTGGTGCCTTGTCGGGAAACCTCGACTAGCTTGTTTTGTTGGCATATTTGCATCTGATTGGAAAAGTTCAGCTGCCCACCTTATATGACCACCGACTCATGACTTCGCTCTCAAAGCTGTTCACGGCTGAAGTGGGAAAATCAGCGCTCCACGAAATATTCCTAGTCCCATGCGCACTGCGTGCCTGTCCTTATGACCTCCTCCTGACGATGCTAAATGACCATGTTGTAAACTTCGTCAATGCTGGTAACTTTTCTTAGGTTCTTTCGGCTTCAAGGCTGCATCAGGTCGAACTTCGTTGCACCAGATTAGGCTTCAGACATCATGTGTAATGATTCAGTGCTGAGATGCATTAAGTCGTCACGTAAAGTCTTCGAGGCGGCCGAAAAGCATTGCAAAAAGACTTTCCAGAGCTCACTGATGTCATTGCCAGCTCACCGTACTCACACGATATTCTAACTATAGTGTCATCAGAGTTAAATCATAAGAGAGGCCATAGAATTGCTCCGGTTGACTGCACTATCCCTTTAAAATAAGTGGTGACATGCTTTGAGTTGCATCGAAGTTGCGCTGCAGGCGTACAAAAGTTAAGTAGAGGCGAAGGGCGTGGTCTTATTTAGATGGCAAAGCAATCTAAATATTCTAAAAAAGGGACTGTTAGATGGCACAGGCAAAACTGCAGATGACTTGCTGTCTCGTATTTTGCATTACTCTTTAGTACGTCGGGCGTAGAACCAGCAAGGTGAGTCGTAATGAACCCTACCTCCCGTGCCGTCGAATGCGGCAATTTCCGTTTGATGGGAATGGAAAAGAGAAGTGCTTAAAAAGTAGAGAACGGGTAAAAGACACGTCCCGTGCCGTTTAGTCCCGTTTGGTGCTAATGATATGCATCATTAATGAAATGCAATAAGTTCGGAAAAAATCGTCAGCGTGAAACAGGGTGCTCTGACAACCAAAAAAAAAAAACCCTCTGGCGGACTGCAAGCATCACCTCACGCCCGAAAAGCCGTCTTCCCGTGTCAGCATCTCTCAGTGTTCGCGCGGCTCGCTGGCAGACGGATGAGCTGTTGAGCTACGAAAAGTCGCTCTGCCAGGAGTTCAGCGCCGAGTGGGAGCGACACTACTGGTACGGCAGGACCGGCGGCCAGTCGGACGACGACTTCATTCCGGCACGCAGGTCAGAGCGCACGCTGTCCAGAGCCGCGCCGCGGGACGGACTACTGCGCGACCAGCTTCGCCAAAAAGCAGGAGTCGGTCAAGTAGCGTTACGAGAAGATCACGCGAAGATGTCATTAGCAGGCTTGGGGAGGGGCAGAAAGGCGGCTTTACCAACACCTTCCTGGCAAAATTTAACACCAGCGACAAAAAGTGTCTGGGTGCTGGTAACCGAGCCGTGTGAAACCACGCGCGGCCAATAGGGGTCTCAGGAACAAATTCGTTTGTGTGGATTCGTTGCAGGTTGTAAAACATCATCAGTACGTTAAAATCAGTCAAATACACCAGGCGCCCAGCACACAGGTCACTACACCCGCACTCAACGATATTCTGATAAGAATTAGTCACTTGTCACCTGTCTAGCGCCCTTCAACCCTTCCCCTGCCCCTCTAATCAATGCCTCTTGCCGTCATGATCACGGAGCGACATTGTCGTAGCTTCGTGATTTGTTACGAGAGCTGCGAGGATGTAAACATCTCAGACGCGTTTAGTCGCGACGGGTTGGATCGCTCATACAAGGACTGTGTCGCTACACTTCGTAATTGGCTCACCGCAATCCTCAGGACCTGTCATGCTGTATGGTTGTGCATGAAATAATGCCCATTTGCGACCCCATTCCTCCACCTTCACTCTTCAGATATTGCTCCATCGTGATCGAAGATGAGACGAAGGTTTGTCATTCGAAAAGCTAATACCGAGTGAAACATCATATACAGCTGCTGCCGGCATAAGTGATGGCCGTCAAATGCATCATCGAGATGAAACTTCCATCAATGCCAAACGCTATTAAGGGAGCAAAGAGGAGAGTGCTGAGTTGCTTCCACTCAATCATTTGGACCATTCTAACGGAACATTTATTAAAACTTTTGCTGGATATAATCATAGTTCTTTGCTGTTTTTAATGAATGTGAGATGCACAAAACCCCACAAATGATTGCCAAACTATGATGTAAGGGCATAAACTGCACTCTGTGATGGCATGGCCGAACATAGTAAGCGTGCCAGAGAAGATATAGTACACGAAGATTACATGTCCACAATTGTAGCACTATGGTGAAATTAATCTGAGTGATTATTTTAGACCAACAGAGGGCGAGCCAGAAAGCTCTGGAGATTTTCGTGGTGATGACGTCAATTTCGAGCTAATGGCCAACGACCGACCCCGGGTCACCATAAATACGGAGAAGAGATTTATCTTGACGAGGAAAATGTTGGCCACTTTTGAGGAATACGCTTCCAGGTGGGTGATTAGTAAGCACATCACTTAAAATAGCGTATCACCGAAACATACGTATGTACGTCTTTCACACACTTCAAAGTTTGCCGCCGTTTCGTAACTGAACGAAAATATTGCCATTCAGAGAGACACTTCCAATACTGTCGGTTACTCACGTTCTTTCTACACCCAGATATAAGATGGTACCTGTGGAGCTGCTTGTCAAGAAGTCACGTCAGGCTCAGGCTGGCGCCAAGGCGCGGAGGAAGACCATGGATGATTTCATCAGTGTGCAGTTTGGCATGGCCATGGTCAATCTGAGCTACTTGCTGTATCCAGGAGGTATATGTAGCAGTGACACAGGACTTCTCCAAAACATAATGTCATATTCCTGGAACATACCCCACACCAGTCAGTCCAGTCTCTCCCAAAATTTGTGCGATTAATGCTATTTACAGCTATCGGCAATGCTTGTGCCAACGACATCATTTCGCGCAGTACACGGGAATCGCAAACTTAAATTATGTTGGGCGCACCGCCCTCCGGCGTTCTTTAAACCACAGTTTGTGGATGCCAACATGGAGCGGCGCCACCAGCGATGCGTCCGGCCGTTCTCCGCCAGTGGGCCGGCTGCGCGGTGCCTACCGGATCCAGTCCCTGGACCCAGCCCGTTACGAGGAGCAGACGGGCGGGCGGCGGAGCCTGTTCCTCCAGCTGACCGCTGGCAGTGCCATGGAGGACACGGGCTCCATCGTCAACGGCAAGAAGAGCGAGGTCGACAGGGCTGAGAAGAGGGAGATCAAAGAGGAGAAGCCAAAGAAGAGCAGGGAGGACGGCAAGGACGGTGACAAGGCGAAAGACAAGGAAAAGGTGCTCTCTACCATATACCTACGTTTGCATTGTACGCATTTCCGTGATCGTTTTGGTGGCGAATCGATAACGGCAGGGACTTTACGTTGCTATCGGCAGTGCCTCGAACTTTTGGCCACGGCTGAGCTTAAAACCTGCTTACTGTGTTCGCTTGCCGCTGGTCCCATCACAACAACTGATGTCATAATCTGTTACATCAGTGGTATTGCATTCGCACGCTTCGATAAATAACCAAACGACCAACATAGCTGACGATAGCAACTCTTCTGTCGCTCGCCACTTTAAGTCCGGACTTCCCCGAACGCAAAATTATCAACAAGCCCAGTCCACCGAAAATAAGCACTCCCCTACCCTCTGCTCCGTCTCGCCCGCGGAGTGACTTAAGTTGCGGATGCCTATGCTGAAGCGCCTGCTGTTCACAGCACTCCGCCGGCCTGCCGATGTCACTGGCCTCCAACCTCAATATCCACCTGATGCCTGAGCTGCCAGCCAGGGCGGAAAACGACGTCTTCAGCTGTGGCAAGATGTACCTGGTGCTGGACATACGGATGCGCACCCCGCTGGTGAAGCGGCACACACTAGAGGATCTAGCACTCAGGTGAGGGTGGGGACCGGACTCGGGGACGTGTAGATTGGTGGCGATATCCTTGGGTACAGTGAACTTGAATGATGAGCTGTTCTGATGGATCGCTGCGTGGCGTGAGCACCAGGCCGGGGTTAGATGGTTAGGAAATACATAATAGCATACCAGTAAAACTACTGTCAGTAAAACGATTTTCAGGACAGAGGTCGTTGTTGCATTTTCCGCTCCAAAATCAGGGGTCCCGTGCGGAATATTCAACAATGACCTGGGTCTATGCCGGCGTAATAGTGGCACACCTTTTACCAGATGTCGTTTATGTCGAGCAAGTAAGCTGGATGTTATTTCGGCGTGGCTGGGAGACCTGATAATACGCCTCACGTTCACGTTTTGTTTGTTAGACTTGGCCGTTTTTCTGCTAGGTCATTGATATAAGTAAACTTAACACTTCACATGCATTGGGTGCCTCCTTTTTGGATGATGCGCGGGGAAGAAGACGGATTAAATGTAAATACCGGAGGACCAAAACATTTTGCCAACCGTGCAAACATTGGGTATCATCGAGTCGAGCGCACTTAAACCCACGCTCAGGCTAATTATAACAAACGCACGACAACAAATGGTAAAGGACATTAGAGAATTCGTAGAATCTGACTAGGCTCATTAACCCCAACTGATGGTATGAGTATGATGACAGAATATATGGGATGTTCCACGAGTTTCATTTGTTGAGTTGGATGCCAATGACTTTGCATAATTCGTTGATCCTAAGACTGAATTCACTACCTGCCCCATCCGGAATCCGTGAGAGCTCAAATGTGCTGTCAGTTTTAGCCCGCCTTATGTCGCCTGCTTTTTTGTTGTCCCTGCGTTTCCTTACGCTTCCGTTGTCCCTGGGACCGCCAGAACTTTACCGGTGCCGCCGGCGCTGGGACCGAGGCTGCGCTAATATGCCTCAGCACTAATTTAATCCTGGCCGGGCTAAGGGAGGCTGGTGCGACGCTCTCCGCAAGGTTTTCATGCTAATAGGTCCCTGGCATGCTATGAAATCACACCTAAATTATCAGGAGCCCCTGGGCCTGGGCGCGTGTTATCATCTTCCAAACATGTCCCAAGCGTTTCTGGTGCCTCAACAGAGACGCTTCTAGGAACACTGCACGGCCAATCTATTGGCATCGCAGTCGGCAGTAAGCAACTGACAGCAACCGGTGGCGGACGGTGGGGATGACATTAAAAATAATCATCGTAACCGTCAGTATCGCCTTAAAGTACGCCAAACTTCATGCCAACACACCCAGAATTAAACAGCAAATACGCATGTGCAGGTTATTCCGTTACACGGTCTCATAAATGTTGAATGTATACGTCACATAGAGCGATGTTAGGGAAAATTAAAAGGTAAAACTTATGACCAATCGTAACATCTCCTTCATGACAACTAAACTTTTGTCCGTAAGGCCTTATCATTCTTAGTGTGGAAATAGCAGGAGAGTCGTCAGACAGGAAGAGAGCATTACACCGATTTGCGTCGCGAAACGACGAATCCAGGCCAGTGTTTTAAATGAGCGCCCAGCAACCGCCTTGAGAGCGACGGCACTGGCGCCCGGGTGGCCGCCGCTGTCGCATCCGGCCTGTCCAGCTCTGGCCTCGGGGGCGGACCGTGCGCCGGCGGTGACGGCGTTCTCGACTGTCGCGACAGCGTGCAGTCCCTGATTCCACACCGGGACGACGTGACCCGAGAGGCCCGCAGCGCCGCCGAGGCCCAGAACCGCTACCACAAGAAGGTCAAAGAGCTCAGCCAGACCCTGTTGGAGGAGCTGAGGCGCAACATGCACAAGTACACGGCGCCCGAGAGCGGAGGTGAGGAGAGCCGCTCGCTTCAGCATTGGTAAGCTGTGAGAACGCTTAGCCATTCCACTGGTGGGTGAGGTTTGTATTGAGCGGTGACACGGGCGGGGTGTGAGCGATGGCCGTTTGTGGTGGGAATTCGAGGCGTTGTCGTCCTTGCCTTTGGCAGAATCTTATCGATCGATGCTGTTCCTCTGTGAAAAAACGATCGGATCTATTTAATGACCCGATCACGAGCCATCGGGTCTTCTTTCATCGCTGTTATGTCCGAACGCTACTCCCTGGGCTTAAGCAACGCTGTTATCTTGCCAGTATGACGTATGCCATTCATTTTTTCGCGTTTTGTTTGTACTGAGGCGTGTTCGATGATCATGGATATGCGATGTCCTGATGAAAAAAGGTACACTAGTCGTGCTAACCGTATTCCGCAGTACGGTACTGCTCTAAGGCGGATGAAAACCTTGATAAGTTTTGTTCGTTCTTGAAACCTTTCATTTGTTAAGATTGCTCGTCGCCCAAACAACAAATTTAACACGATCCCGGGTGGGCATCGCGGTAACCCTAGGGACTCAAGGCGGGGCCTGATGCCCCCGCCCCCTGAGATTTCGGTCACTACTTGGCCGATTATGAAAACTAAACGTTGCTTGATTTCCTTTGACGTAATCTTCGCTCAGAAAGGTAAAAACTCAAGAGTTTTCTATGAAATGGCAAAACAGGGAGCAACAAAAATTTGAGGCGCTTTTGATACGGCATATCCGTTACGTTTGCCAACCGATTTCGACTCAGCCAGACAGGTCCATGCATAATTATTAATATGTTGATGTGCTAGGGGATACGGATGTGTTTTTTTAACATGTACACATCATGGGTGTACGTTAACACAAAAGCGCAAAGCAGGTATACTTAACGAGGTGTCATAAAACTTTTCAAAGCAGGTTTTAATTGTGTGTGTGTCTGTGTGTGGAGCACGCGGTAAGCTTCGCGATTAGTAGAGCAGGCATGGACACAGGCGGAGCCAGGGTGCCTATTGGGGTGATGAAAAGGCGGCGCTTGAGTAATGCTTGTTTTTGCAGCCCGCAATCCTGCTATGTACTGGAAATGAAGCATAGTGCACTATGACATGAAGGGACAGGGGCCGAAGACGTATTCAGTTTTCCAAAAGGAATGCTTTTTCCGTTTGCCGCCCACTCACTCATTGCCTTGCCCAGCCACAGGCGCACCGAGTTAACCTTCGGCGCTTAAATTGGAATACCAGGTAAAACGACTCACCGATCGCATGAATGGCACACATCATCTGCAGAATTATCCGACACCGGCATGGATGACAACGTCAAAGCCATGGCTGCGTTTTCCATTATCGCTGGCGCCATCCGAAACCGGACAGAATACAATCGCCCCGGGGCTCAAATAGAGCAAGCAGAGGCACATTATGGCCAAGTCTATAACTCCAATCCCGGTCTGCCAGCCATCCGGTAGCACACCAGATGCTGGTACGGCTTCAGGTCATTGCTCGGGGTGTCGGTGCTTCGCAGTCACGCTTCATCGATGCTTCGCATCGGTGCTTCGCAGTCACGCGGATACGCCGTCCGCTGACGCTCCTAGGGAATATCTGAGGTTGTGCCAGGATCTGATGCGCCATAGGACGGCTGACGAGGCCGTCGTCGGAGCAGCATGGGCCGTCAAGTGCCGCCTCTTGGCGCATACGAGACCCGAGACGGTCGTGTTCGGTTCGGTTTCGGATGAAGTCGGCGACGATGAAAAGGCAACCGTGGCTTCGATACAGCTACCTATATGCTACTGTTCGGTGCCAGTGGCGTAATCTGTTGAGGATGCTGCGCCGATGCACAGTTCGTAAACTGGGACACGGCATTGCGGTGCCTGGTAGGTGAGTCCCTTCGCTGATATTCCAGCGTCTTCACGCTCATGCTAGCTGGTGGCTAAGCAGGCAATCGATGATTGGGAACCCAACGACGACTATCATATCGTGCGTTTAGGCGGCGTGCTTTAGATTTCTGAGAGAGGGAGGGGTGTGTCAACAATATAAATTTTCGCAGGTAGTATGGTCTGTGACAACAGTCAGCCGCAGTAGCTTTTGCAGAAGTTCGAAACCCACCGGCAAAATATTAGCACTTTTGATAAGTGAGCACCGGACACACATCGGTATGTAGCAACGTAAAATATAACATGTATTTACAACAATGGTGAAATGCGGTAATGGTGTAGCGTGCGGGTTTACTTGTATATATGTTTCCTTCATAGGACTTGACAGTTCTTTTCCGTTGGTCCACGTCAAACAGAGAATGGAAATACCAAACTGATGTCGGATAGAATTCAAGAGAGATAAAATGAGCTCGTATCTCATTCATATACATACCAGCAATGCACTGCTGTCTTTCGGACTCGTTTGGCCTCATTTCGGTGCAGTTTAATGTGTTTTTTGATACTAAAATAGTTGTTAATTTTAATTACAACCATTTTTAGCTATCTCCCCACTCTCTCTAATTTCTTTCTGCCAAATGACACACTAGATCGATGTTATAGTCAACAATGTGGAATGGACATTTGAAAAATGGTGAAATAACTTTACGGGCCTTGTTTCTAGTGGGCGAGCCAATGTAAAAGGGGATGTTTTTCATTAGAAGATATTAAAGCAAGCACCAGGCATGATGATTTGCTCACTATATGCTTTAGAGTACAAAAGACTGCTCTAGACAACAAAGCCCCACTATATGGCAAACATGCTCTTCAATACGTCATTGTTTCATTGCGCCATGAAGCATTTCTATAACGTCATGTCTGCTATCAGACTAGCTGTGCCAAAATTGCCATTATAGCCGAGGCTGACTTAGTTGTAGTACTTTGATCTCCCGATATGTGGCCGTGGCGGTGCTGGAGGTGTTTGTTGACCCCAATACTTTAATGTGCTCGTGATTGGACCCTTTCTCGTAGTGTTCTTGCATATTTGCTCTTGAGTTTTAGATGCTCGCTTGCATTCATATACTAGGTTATGATGTCTTTTTCACATCGTTCGATTACAGGTCTTACCTCCGTCATGTCTAGTACTACTACCCAAACCCCCTGAGTTGAGTGACGCAAAACATGGCTTGTGTTCTACATCTGACCATATTATCATCTTTCTTGCCTAATCCTGCGTGTTCACGACGCCCTGCTTGTCCGGCGCAGGGTGCATGTTCCAGCCACCAGTGGGTCGAGAGCCCCTGGAGGGGGTCGCCGCCCGGACGCCCGGTGCATACCTGTCGATGCGGTCCCGGTGCGGGCCAAGTCTCGGTGGTCGGGCCCCAGATGCGCGTAGTCCTGTCCCACCGTTATCCATAATCCTTCATCTCATCTCTCTGAAATGATCAGCTGGGATCGAAGGGGCTGTAACCCAGCTAACCAAAATAACCAACCGTGTTCAAAACTTGCAATGAGTGTGTAACACTGAAGCCAGTGAAGTCCGTTGTATCTGGAAACTGTGCTCACGTACGCCAGGCACGAATGACTCGACAATTATACTTGTCTTGGCGTTGAACGCCGCATGATCAATGAGGGCGTCACGCATGCCTGGGTGTCATTGAATTAGTCTGCATAAAACTGCCTGCACAACTTCGCGGGCGCGTAGCTTTGAAACTCTAGGGTTTTAGGTCTTGAGAAGGGTATGGCTGTAAACTACATCGAAGTATCTTGAAGATGGCTATTTCAGTTCAAAACCCCACACAAATGTGGAGGCTCTTTTTAACGCTCATTTAATAACGCCTCGCGGCCACACGGAACGAAAAGGGCTTAAAACAACCGAAGTTTATGCTCTGCATATTCCCTAAACTTGCAATAACTTTGACAATAATGTTCCTGCCAAATTTATGAATCGGAGCACCAGACTGACCCTAATCAACCATACTTCTCCGAAAAAATGTAGCACCCTAATAATTAAAGAAAACAGTGGCTGGGGATAGCCTTCAATATTCCAGCATGAACGTATTACTCGAACGTTACGGGGTTTTAAAACCTCAAGCGAATGTACGAATCTTTACATAACTTTGACGGAGTGTTCCCCATTTGAATCAGATTTTGGACTGAAATGACCACCCATGAAGATCTGTTGTTGCAGTTTACAGCACTACCCTTCTTCTTAAGCCCCTAGTTTCTGAGCTGCACGCCCACGAAGATGTGCAGGCTGCTTCGTGCAAACTATTTTAAGGTCACCCAGGCATGCATGACGCCACAGTAAAGCTATTCAAAAACTGCCACCCCATTGACCATGCGGCGTTCAAGACCTAAACCAATATCATCAGCAAGTCGTTAATGTGTGACGTTCGTGAGCACAATTTCAAAGCATAACGAACTGCAATTGGCTTTATCAGCGTCATGCAGGCAGCGCAGGGTTCAAACACGATTTGATTATTTGGATTAAACCCCTTTCGACCAGCGATTATCATTTCAGGTATTTCAGAATGGATAACGGTGGAGTTCAGTATCTTGACCATGAAATGCATCTTAGCAAATTTAAGCGTTTCATGCGCTTGTTGCGGGCATGCTCGACGTGACTGGACATGGACAATCTTTGGTCAAGAATGACGCCTAGGACTTTGAACAGTGAAACAACATTTATATCGTGACCGTCGAGTTGGCGACAATAGGACGGTGTATCTCGTCGCCTTTTACTGAAAATTGTATCGACCAGATTCTTGGCGAAAAAGTAGAGACCAAAAATTATTGACCATTATTGTAACCTATGAAGTGCGCCTTGATGGGGTGGTGATGAATAATTAGATTCTGCATCTGAGCACCAAATTGCGCTGTCATCGGCGAAAAGTGACGAGGGCATGTCCGAAAGGAGATCAAATGAACCACCTATCAGTAGGCCGAGGAGCATTGGATATTTACAGCAACCATGTGGAAGGACGTTCTCTTGAATGTGATCATCAGAGAACGCCGATCGGAATCTCACACGGAGCGACCGCGTTCGTCTTACACGGAACGGGACAGCCGGCATTTACGTCGTATGCTTCCAGGGGTGTATCAATGTCAGATGCCGAGTTCGAATCCGTGCCAGTGACGTCTTTCTCGCGCTTACCACGCCTCCAGGTAATGGGAGAGCAGGAAGAGGCGAACAAAAACTGAGCAAACTGGTATATTTTACGTGTGCAAAGCGAAAAGCGACAAAAACGACGGTATGGAGCTCCTTGACCAGCAGTCGCAACAGGAGCAAACCCTCAGCGTTGGATGGTGGTATAGCCGATTCGGTTTAGGACACTGAGTGGGCAAACCATGTGCTTTAATTTTACACAAATCACGATTGTTGCCACATATTACAAGAAGTTGAACATATGTGCTAGATATTTCGTCAATAGGACTGCTGATTGAATGACTTAAGATACCGCCATTACCGAGCACGCGGTACCGAGTGCACATTTTGCATGGGCATTTTGGCAGCATCTGTAACGTCATTCAGACGCCCTATGACGCAGTCAAACAATAGCGTGCTGAGTAACGTATTTTCCGGGGGCGCAGAGACTATGTCCAAGTTCGGGGGAAACCTTAAAATGTTCAATTGGGCTCACTAAGATGAGAAGGTGGATCCCCTTCTAACCAGAGCAAACTCCCTTCTAGCCAGAGCGAGCCCCTTCAGTAAATAATGGGATCTTTACAAGTTAGAATCGGCCCACTGCACGTTAGAATGGGACCTCTGCGGGTCAGAATAGGCCCTCTTTTAGCAAAAATGGAGTCTTTACAAGCAAGAATGGACCTCCTACAGCCCTGGAGAAGCCTTCTGCAGGCCGGAATGGGCCCTCAATGTTCGAAAATATGTCTCTACATGTCAGAACGGACCCTCATGAAAAGTTGATCGAAAAGTTGATCGCCTGTACAAGCCATAATGAGCCATCTACAGAACAGAATAGGTCCTCTTAAGGCTAGAAAAGGCCCTTTAAAGGCCAGAATGGGCCGTGTACGGACTCACAAATGCCGTCTTTTGTTCAGAATGGATCTTCATTATATCCAATGAGCCCTTGACAGATTAGAATAGACTTACAGAATTACACAGCCCTCAACATCTTAGAATCGGCCCGTAACACATCAGAATGGGCCCTCAACAGGCCCTCGAAATCGCGGAGGGGGGGAGCTGTTTTCACTCACTCCCACCCCCAGTTCCTGCGTCTGTTATGTTATGTAAATAAACACATTTTTGTTCCTAGAGAAGTCTTTTCGAATTTAAGCATACCAATAGTTAGACCCGAACTCATTTGATCACGTCTGATGCTCGCATCATTACCTTCAAACATGAAACATTTCCCCTAACAGACGTCGGCGGCCCAGGGGAGGCCGCCGACGCCAGGGGAAAACTAATACGGGATTCTGGGTCTAGTGTCTACTCACATTTCCTTTAACTCACGGTAGAGTAGACCAAATGTTCTATGAGAAACGGGCTTTTGGCCCTTACTGGGATGACCTGTGACCGGTTGCAGCGGCCGCGCTGAAGGTCAGAGGATTTCAGAGGCTGTTCACTCAGAAATTCACGCCGGGACGATGGAATCGAGGCTCACGCGATGCGCACGGCTGAGCGTAGGCGCTAATTCTATAAATCCGCCTCCCATCAACATGTTCAGACTAAATAAAGAAGAGACTGCGTAGGTAAATAACCGTATCATTTGCGTCTATTTTCATCCGAATATGAAAAGACCACTTTTAAGCATTCCAGTTAAAGCAATGTATTGGTATGTAAATAGGGCTTCGCGTGAAACGTATCTATGTAATTTGTGATGTTTGTTCTGTTATAAGCGAATCCCTATTTACATATAAATGCATTGCTGTAATTGGGATGCTCAATAGTGCGTTTGATTGCAACCGAGCGACTCAGTTAGATTATTCGTTGTAACTTCAGCAATCTGTCACTGCGTAGCCAGTCACACTTTCGACAGGGATATCCACAAACCCAGAAAAAA